TATATATTTATATTTATATATATATATATATTTATATATATATATTTATATTTATATATATTTTTATTTATATATATATATATATTTATATATATTTTTATTTATATATATATATATATTTATATATTTATATATTTTTATTTATATATATATATATATATATATATATATTTATAAAAAACAAGTGTCTTCACTTCAACCCTTATGTCTACAGATGTTTACACTTATATCAGCAAAGTTATGAAGAAACTTTAATAAACCTCACCAAATAGTATACACAGTTAAAAAAAATAAACTATTTTAATGTATACCTCACAAGACAAGTTACGGGCAAATATTGATGTAATTAAACCTCAATCGCCTAGACCAAAATGTGTGTAATCATCAAGTATCAATATCTGTCAAGTACCACAAGTTGGCAAATGTTAGACTGCATTATGTTGAGGAAAGGTCCCGAGTCCTTGAACAACATAACATTTTTTTGATGGACTAGATTATAACTGATAAAAACAAAAACAGTATATTATTCCCTTTTCTCTTACTACTACGCAGCAATTTACAGTTCCATCTGAAAACTGACATTTTGGGATGTCACAGTAGCAAAGCACAGGAGTAAATAGCAGAATGAGTAATGGTTGAATTCCATTTAACTGCATCAGTTCCATGATTCTGGTATTGTGAATGCTGGCTCGCTGTCACATGACTTACCGGGAGACTTTAATATAACGGAGCCCTCGTTAATGTTATCAGTAACACGTGCTTTTTCTTACTATGACAAGTTCTTTCAAACATCAAATTATTAAACAGAAAAGTCACAGGAAAACTTAAAACATGTTTTTATTAATTAACGCAACTTACAGTCAAGCCAAAGAGTGAACTATATTAAGTGATACGTATTCACATTATGTCCTAACAGGGTTTACAGCATATCTTGTGTTCTGTAAGCATTATTGTTAACAAAAATAAGTAAATGTAAAATAGAAATCAAAGCTTACACCTTTTACAACAACAAGAAATGAGGAGCTTAGCAGTGGATGTGAACAATTTAAAATCAGCAACATAAAGACCCTCACCAGAACAGGAATGACAGCAAATTCAGTTTTGGCATGTCGTGGTTTAAATAAGGGAGAAGAGAGCGAGAGAGAGAGAGAGAGAGAAAGGATAAAAAACAACAACTCAAAATGACACAAATGAAGGGAGGTTTGAGTTCATACGGCTGTTCAGGGCTGCCTTCTGCCAAGAGACTTTGGTCGCTTTGCTTCTCCATCATGGCTTACAAGTGGGGAAAAAAGTACAATGTATAAAATGAAAAATGGCCAAAGAAACTGGAGTGTCCTGGAATCAGTTTGATGTATGAATGAATAGAGGAATATATTTTACTTTTTTTTTTTTTTTTTTTTTTCCTTCAACAAACTACAGATGATTGTCCGTTTTTCCTTAAATGAGTTGACTACAACTCCAGGACAGCCCCTACATTCATAGGAGGTAGATAACACGGCAATGAGACGCAAAAAGATAATAATAGTGTCTGAATGGGGATCAAGCTCTCCGTCAAGTCTGTGAAATTGAAGTGCATAATTTGTTCCAACTTTAAGGCCAAATAGGAACCTCACGTGTAGATCTAAGGCTATTTTAAGACAGCGGTGCAGGGGACGGGACGGGGCGGCGGGGGGGGGGTAAGGGACACAGTAAGCAGATAGAGCCCTTTCACGACAATACCTGAGTCAGTCGTGTTAAACCACAGAGCCTCGTGAGCGTCAAACTCTTCGTCAACTATTTGTTTGGCTGCACCGACAATATGAAAAAAAAACACCAAAAAAACCACAAGAGCACAGAAATATGATGCGGCTACAAGGTGAGAAATATTCTGATGAGATTCGCGTAAAAATTGCATAAATGACACATTATCATTTGGCCACAAAGTGTAACGTACTCCTTTGTTACGACAGATTAGATTTACTGGTTGTGGCGTGTGCACAGCCTGTAGTGACATTCAAACCTCCCAAAAGGGGAAAATTAAAAAATAAAATTAAAATGTATTGGACAATATGAAGTACACTACAGAAAAAAAGTCAATGCAGCATATATCAGGCTTATGAGGTACTTCATGAATATATATAGATATATCAACCTTTTTAGAAAAGCTCTTCAAAGTCATATTATTCCTTATAATTCCTATTGATAGCATAAAATACCTCGTCAATTATTATTATTTTTTTTTTTTTTTTTTGAGACTGCTTTGAAAGTGCAAAACACAAATACTGATCCGTTCTATGCAGCATCTACACGAGAGGTTGCGTGATAATCAAAAATGGAAATGATTTGTATGCGTGGCGCAGATGGAGAAGAGAGAGCGAGAGAGATCCGACAAAAGGCACGCATGAGACGACTACAAACACGCACTGGATGTTTTCAGTTCAGACTAAATTACAACGATCTGTAGTTAATTTCCACAAAGCCTTGTATGTACCTTTTTTCCCCGCTGACGTTTACAATGTTCTGTTACCTTGCAAAGCATGTTCAAATGTGTATATTCCCTTTGTTAATTGTTGCATGCAAAAACTACATTTTTAATACCCTCAACAACAACAATGCCGTAGAGTCTGGCTAATCGTAGGAGCAGCGGAAATGAACTGAGTAGGCAACAGAGACATCCACCCTGATTTTATTGCAGTACTGGGTTAACACGGCAGAGAGAAATGTAGGCATTTGATCACGTGGAGTGGCTCTATCCAGTATGACACCTTTTAACATTTCGGTAAAAAGAAGGAAAAAAAAAAAAAAAAAAAAAAAAAAAAAAAAAAGCAGCTGCTTCCAAATATTGAGACAAATGAATCTACCCATTTGCAAAGTATTGTTTTTGCCAACTAAAAGTTGAAAATGTTTATTGAGCCTTGTTGCCTTGACCTGCGCACAGACGACAAACTAATGACCAACGACCCCACACGCAACAACATTATTGCTGTACATACGTCTTTCCAACAGATCTCCACCGCCACTATGAACATTCCTCAATATCGCCAACATGTCTGCTGGAATAGCAACACATTGTCATCGTGAATAGTAATTGCTTTATGATGATGTCATGATTACAGTTTACTTCACTGCGAGGAATGTGTTTCCTCGGTTGGTTTTGTAGCGATCTTTTGAAAAAAATAATAAAAATGAAGGACTCGCATGAGACGATGAGACTCCCAATTACAAATATTTGGTCCCCCCAAAACGTAACCAACTAAAGCAACCAACCAGTCGTACATGATTACTTGGTTTTCCATTTAATAAGGTCAAAGAAAAGAACAGTGCTCTCATACGATATTGGCTTGTATTGGTTTGGTCATAATTTTTTTGATTTTGATACCATTATTATAAATGAGGGCTAATATTAGCTAGCACCTGACACTGCTCTGAGGTAGTTTTTTTTTTTTTCAAAGTTGGTAAATAAAAAGCCAAGTTCATTCTGAAGACTAGAAATGCTTTGAAAATACACAAATACCCACGATTCTTGCATGGTTGGAGACCGGTAGATCGGATGGATGGCATTGGTTTTGGAGAGTTGAAGCTTGGTAACGGTTCTACTCTGTTAGGTTAGATTGACTGCAGCCCCGTGGAGAACCCCAAACGTACACCGGACACAGCTGGAACGCATTCTGGCTGCCAGCGATTATCGGTTCCTATTCTCGTTCACGCCAGATTTCTCTGCTATCCTGAAGCTTGAACTTCACAGCTGAATGTACATACATAACTATATCTACCGACGCTTGTCCAATCCATTGAGTAGATTTAACGGGATGAGTGAAACCTTTACCTGCTAGTGGCACTAGAGTAAAGGTCGGGGGCTAAATAATTAGAATAGACATGTGGCTGCTAAAGGAGCTGGAGCTTCAAGACTCTTCTTGAAACTAAGACCAGACGTGACAACCAAAATGTGATGTAGCTGCATCCGGTGGACATCAGGGAACGGTTGTGGTTAATAATGGTTCTTTCCTCAGGTCTGCCAGTACGTCATTTGAATTTGTGCTCAATATTTTAGACTTGTAGCTAAAAGACAATAATAATAAAATAGGTAAACTCTAACTGGAAAGACCTTGTTGAAGCCACACAAATGTCACATGGCTCCAGGTAATCGGGTGGACATTGGCATGATAGAGACTGTCTGTCAGGGACAAAGTGATCGAGGAAAGAGGAGAAATATGCTCGCGGAAGCCAGCCGACTGCCATGGAAATCTCAAACTGTGCTTTTTGAAATCTGGAAAAAAAAAACAAACAAACATCTGTGTAGTAATACAATCACCAAAAAGGTAAGGAGCACAAGCAACACTAAAAACCTCAGCTTCTTTCACTTTCAAGTGTCCCTGCGCTAATGAGTGAGTGAGCTGAACTCTGGGAGGATTCTACAGGACAGGAATATCAGACCAGAGGGCTTAAGCAGAAGCCGAGAATCTAAAGGCAAACAAGATCACACACACACCAAAGCAACCATCATATGTACACACACACACACACACACACACACAGTTATGTTACAGCTATTCAAAAAAAGCATGGCGCCAGAAACAGAAAAGATGACCAGTCTTTGCAACAGTGTATAACGTTTGTCTCGTAAAACTACAGTAGCAAACATCCAGAGAGAAGACATCTCAACTGTAGACTTGTATACCTCCTGTTAATCCAAAATGATGTCAGCTGGGATGTGGGTGATATCTAAATCAATGAAATATTAAAAAAAGAACATAATACGTTCTGCAATTATTAAAAAGCCCATAAATAAGAGAAAAATAACAAAAGGCTGTACACAAGAAGCAAACGTATATATAGTATAGATGTACTGGATGGATGGCCTTAACAATATTACAAACCACGCAGGCTCTAAGTACATTCATTGTTATTATTTGGAGCTAGGAAAATAGGTTCTACTCTACAAGAGGTTTCTTTATGTCAGCAATAGTTTCTCTACAAGAGACGGATGAGAGGCAAAGAGGAGAAACAATATACAGGGTTATGGTTTGGAATAAACGGATGTATAGGTTTGTTGCTTCATTGGAAGTCAGGCTGCATTTTATTCCGAGACCATTCGAAAAGCGAAAGTAAGTAAAGCTTGGAGTAGTTTTTAATCTCAGCCTCTTTCAACCCAACATTTAAAAAAAAAAAAAAAAAAAAAAAAAAAAAAAAAAAAAAAAAAAAAAGATACAAACAAAAACGGTTTGGAGAGAATAAAGTAAAGTGAACACTTAAATTAGCTTATGATGATATGCCATTTAGTTTACATACCAGACATTTCTACCACCTGCCTCGTCCTAGTTTTGGACATTCAAGGATACGGGAAGAACAGCCAAACTGAGGTGAAGTAATGTCGGGAGGGTTACCACTGCAGGCATTTTGAATGCCTGACTTAAGCACCTCGGGCACCATTTAACTTGGTGCCACATTCATCCAGGCTGGTGTGTTCATGCATTTGCTCCATACATAGGCTTGATTTAGCTCATCATGATCAAGCAGGTTTAAGTAAAGCCTCTTCTGAATCTTGATATGTATAGTCTCAGGTGGTGACACACAGAGAGGCCTTACTTTAAGCGTTATTTTCCTATGCAGTCTTGGAACAAGGACTGTGACCGTCAAACCTTCCCGCACACGGCACCCACGCCTCTAAGGAAACCTTACCGTTCATAGCTTATCAGCTCTTTTCAACACCTGTCAGTTTGTTTTGCATAAAGCACCTTTCTCCAACATCACTGTACAAAGGCAACCCACCAACGCAACTAAATTTCACTCTGTTGTTTACATTTAAAAAGGCATATTTCTCAAAGACGCCACGCTGAACGCCGGTTGGCTCGGTAGAATCCCTCTTGCTTTCTGAATGGCAAAATGCACACGCTGAGGCTCTCAAGCGCTGCCGCTTGGAATTTTTTGCCGTCGCCAAATCCTTTCTCAGTTTTAAAAAGAAGAAGAAGAAGAAGAAGAAGAAGCCAGTCTGCCATCTGATAAATACTCTTAATGCTGCAGCAGCTACAAAAGTCTACTCTTGTTTAGTGCAAAAACAACATTGTCAAATGTTTTAGGTTTTATCGCCAGGAAAAGCAATGCCGTTCTGATCTGCTGCGTTAAGGTGCTGGTATAGGTAATGTCAAACACGGAAGGAGCAGTAACAACAAGTACAAAGCCGTCTCCCAAAAAGACATACCCCCATTTTTCTGAATTTCAGCACGCTATCATTTAGGACACCCATTCACTTTCTACACAAAATGACGTTCAGGTTTTCCAAACAGACTCCACCTCCATCAGTCTCCATAAAACACATTTCAGATTTGGCCTGATGCTACAAATTAGCTCCGTGGTGGATTTTTAAGTGGTCAAAGGCCTTCCCGAATCACATACCTCTTTATACATGCTGGACTTCTTTCAGGCTGAAGAGGCGGTTCTCTATGTATTGTTTTTAAGTTTGCAATCAACTTTAACAGTCCGACTAACGGCACACCTTGGGTACAATTTGTCCAACTCAAGGGTATGCAATGATCATAGCTAATGTGGGCTTTTTGCATTTGTTGTTATGCTGCTCATATGGAAAATCAAGGTGTCCAGAAAAAAAAAAAAAAAAAAAAAAAAAAAAAGTCTCATTCCACTGGTGCATAGAATAAAAAGGAAAGAAAGGGAAAGCTGTGTGTGAATACAAACACACTGCAGGAATTTGGTCATACAGCTCAACGCTCAAAATCCCTAAAAGAAAGAAAGAAACAACCCCACATTCTCTCTCTCATCAGATTGAGTAAAATATGAAATGAAATATCACAAAACTACATAAACCGAGAAAGCGCGTTTACCATCATGCACACCGAACGTTTAAAACCTCTAATGTCAATGCAAGACTCAAACAATGCCAATTAGATAGATAGCAGGGGGTAATTATACAGAAATGGCCAGCAGTGTGATGTTACCATAACACTTGAACAGGTAACAAGAGGTAGAACACACGGCCATTTCCACACAATTACACCGGTGTGTCACGCAATATGGCCGAGCCTCCCGTTTCAAAATGAGGAACACGCGTCTATCGAAGTCATACCAACGTTCTGCTATCAAAAGTGCATCCAAATTTACATGTGTGAGACCAGCACCGATAAGAACAATATTGACATCATAACAGTAAATATCAAGTACGTCGATTTTCAGAATGCCCCACAAACACAGTCAGTCGGATTTCTAGTTGCTTTACAGGTAAATGAGTAAAAAGAGCAACATAGAGAAAAAGACCCTCAAAATGACGAAGCGTCTTTTTAGCGTACACGTTTAAAAAGCCTCGTCGACCAGTCCAGTGAGGATTTAAGGTGGCTTACAGTGAAAACTTCTAGCACCTAGAATCAAGATGGCCGTTTGTGCTTCCATGTCTCTTGAATATTAATCATGTAAAAGTTTGTAATCTTGTTTGGCTAAGAAAGACTGTGTCACAAAGGATACACCAAATACTCAGGCTATAAAAGCTACAATGTTACAAATGACCACGAATACTTCATCCTGTTAGAAAGGCATGAAGATGCTGATAAGCACTAAGAAACGCTACTAAATGCAACATGCTTAAAATAAAACAATAAAAAAAACCTGATTATCTACCTCTATAAATGACCCTAATTCATGTGAGATACCCCACTGCTAAATCTCTTGGTTAAAAATGATGCATAGTTAGAAAATATAGACTACACGCCTCCAATCAAGACTACATGAACATTCGCTAGCTTAACTTAGTAAAACTTAGGTGGGACGTTAGGAAATGTCTAGAGTTATTAGTAAGACCGGAGCAGTCTTAGAAGGCAAGATAATAGTTGCATTTAAAATCTGTATACAAATAGACAGTGTTAATTTAGACTACATGTGGGCCAGTCATTAAAAAAAAAACAAAAAAAAAGAAAATCTATAATATTTTCAGCAGCCTCCACTGAAAGCTTATTCAAAATATACCTCATTACCAACATTACTATATAGTATAAAGACTCACAAAAAGTCATTTGCATAAAACCCAAGCTTTTGTGCAATGACTGCTCCCAATTCATGGAGCAAACCCTAGTAGTTGTTTCATTTTTAGGGAATTTCAATCAGTTAAAGTCTGAAATGGTGCAGCTGTTACTCCACTGTACCGAATGCCGTGATATCGAGACGCCACACAAATATCCCGCCCTGACAAAGACACTGCAGAAAACACTATCCTGCTGCTATATACATTAAAACGTAGAAGAAGGGTTAATGTGTAAAAAAAAAAAAAAAAAAAGAGGAAGAAATAAACTAGTATCACAAATGTCTAAAACATGGGTCGGCTACATGCATATTCATTACAAAACTGATTGAAATTAAATTAGACTATAAAACAGGAAGGAACAAACAAAAAAAAAAGAATGGATTTCATCAAGTTCCCCTCTATGTTGATTTCTAAATCATGTGTCTCATCAACACGGCTCAGGCTACACTAGAAAGAAGTCGTTGTTGGGAACCGGTCCCAGTACACCAAGTCTCGGCGTGGGAATAGAGTTACTGGTGAAACTAGTTCAGTTCAGACTAACGAGAGGCAGGAGGACGACACAATTTAAATCTATCTCAACACTAACAGCCCTCATCTAGAATAAACTAAGTGTTGGTTCAAGGGTTGATAACAAATCTGATGCAAAGAATCCTCTCGTCAATCGTCACCAGATTTGGCATAAAATGGTCATCAGTGTCAATCGAGGACAAATACTGAAAAACCCAGCAACTGTGGGTCTAATTCATAGTTTTACACAGAAATGACAACAGAAAGGTGGTCTCAAATGGCACTTTTCATCACATAGTGCTCTATGTGAAAGATCACACACAACCCTCAATAAACTAAGTACTGTTGTCCTGATTGAAATACTCATTCTGCTCAGTGCACTTTGCTTTGATTGGCTGATAAATAAAGTTTGTCGGAGGAGGAGGAGCAACTCTTCAGGCATATAAACAGTGAACAGGCCCCCGTTATCTCTTGATGAATTTGATCCTTCTCCCTTCCAGCACACAGAGCCGCATACACAATGCAAACAGGAGGAGGAGGGTAGTTGGTTTCTTCGTAATTATGAACCACCCTAATGTATAATGATACTGCCCACTAGTTTAGAAATGTCTTCTAAACTTTTCCTTTCATTCTTTGCAACATATTCCCCTATGACAAATACAAAACGGACACTAATGCACACAACATGTAAATAAAACCTCTTCCAGCGCAAAACCCCAATAAATAGGGGTTCTTACAGTCTAATAGCTGGCTTTGTTTGGGTCAGGGGCTGAAGTACAATTATAGACATATGGGTAACTGACAGGCCTGTTAGGTAGGGAGATCACTCTGTGAAACCACTGTGACGCTATCTACAGCTGACAGTGAGACAGCGAGTGGGTAGTGTATTCCACCAGTGGGGTCTCACCCACGCCAACTTGGAGTTGTGTGCTCTCAGGCAAAGTACATGGTGCGCAGGGTGTCCTGGTGGATCTGCACGGCCTTGGCCAAGGCCTGTTGGTCACGCCCGTTACTCTGGCCTGATGTGTGACTGCCCTCGGCACTGAAACGGCAGAACGTTACGATTACAGAAGTGTGAAAACTGTTTTCATGAACCTTTTTTCGGTAGGTTGGATTTACCGGAATGCAGCCCTTACCTGTCGTGCTCTTTGTCCACCAAGTGATAGCGAGCCCGGAAGGCCACCAAATGGGCGTAGTAAGCTGGTGCGGGGATGGAAACCGAGCGGGTGCAGCGCACATAGGTGTGGCACAGCTGATAGGTGAGGACCTGCAGTTCATCTGAAGTGAAGTGGTTGTCGTCCCAGAGCACATGGTAATGTGACGGCCTGCTGGTACCCTGCAAGGAGTGAACACGGAGAACAGGTGTCGCAAACGCTGCCCGTTTGTTTTTCATGCATCGTCAAAACCCATTAAATCGGCCCTTTCTCTAAAATACTTCACAGGCACTTCCTTTTCAGTTCAACTACGGTTGGAGCTCATTGAGTTCTCACCTGGATGCCAGCGTGACTGCAAAGGTAGAAGTCAAATTCTGATGGGTGAGTGATTTTGGTGTCCACTGTGGTGCCTGCAGGAATGTTGCCACTCTTCCCAACCTGCAACAATCCAACAACAGATGCATCAGTGAGCTCCGACGGTTTCCTCACAGGTTAGAATAACAACCGTAATATTGTACAAAGCAAAGTCACGACATAAAATATGAACCTATGCACAACAACAGCTATTTCCACATAGGAGGATGCCATTTCTCAGTCGGGATTTAAATGCTAGTGTCGTGCAAGCGTCACCAAATTACTTTGGCTTA